ATCGAGTACAGAGTAATACTAAGTTTTGAGTTTTGTCTAACTGGAGATGACCTGCAGTAATTTGCTTTCATGTGAGCAATTTTGTCACCAAATAGCTCACAAAGTGCACATTTTTATCACGATCATATCCGTTAAATTGGTATCTTTTTTCTCTTGGGCATGGCTTTCTTGTGACGATCGTTGCGAGCATGGTAAATTAGGGCAACCAAGGTGTCACAACCAGCATGGAGGGAGAGAATGGTTAAGATATAAGGTTAGTAGGTTAGAACGGGGAGAGACGCATGTGAAAAGGACTCGGGTTGAAACAACTTGGGACAAGGTCTGGCACGAACGGCTCCGCGCTCGTCAGGGTGACACCTAGATAAGGTGATAAAATACGAAATAAGGCAATACGTAAACCCTTCACCTATTTGGCTTTCTCTCTTACTTATTAATGCTCCTCCTCGTTGTACGGCAGCGAATTCGACGTGTTTAGCGATGGCAAACGAGCGCGCAATGACGCAGCCGCCTGCTTTGTTTGGTCAGACTATCTCTCCAGCGTTCTGCCCTAACGCTATCGCCTGACTGTGAAACGGTTTTAAGCATAGCATAACCACTTAACATATAATGTAGGATGAGACCAGTATGAGTCACTCCACGCCAAAACACCCATGCGCGTACAGCCCCGACCGCCGGCCTCCCGACTGCCCAAGTTTGCTGGTTGTGCTGATCATGTATTTCATAACTTCAGCAGGCTTGCGGCTGAACGACATCCTTGCGCTGATGACCGTGGTGAGTTTGACTTTCCATGTTAACGTAACGTGTCGTAACGGCTGCTGTGACGTCATTAGTTGCGCGAAGGTGGCGAAACTTTGTCACAGCCTGAGACCTGTCTCCAAAAGGCTGCACTATAAAACTGGAAGCCAAACCGGCTGACGGGGATTCTCAACACGAGCGCGAATGCTCCAGTCGTCCAGCATGGCAAACGTGAGCTTCACAAGCTGTGACAATGCCGCCAAGCCGGTGCCACGCACTGGCTGGGGTCTCCCGGCGACCCGGCGTTCCGGCGACACCCGGCCGACACGGCCGGCTCAAGAAAAGAGCGGGACATTGTATCAGCACAGGTGTGTAGTGATGCGTTACGCTTTTCACACGCGCTGAGGTGAAAATCACGGCACCACCGGCTCTGGGTGTTTTCCGGATTTCTGTCACACAACGGCAAACCCGAGCCAACGGTAATGTGAAATCAGCCGCACGGTGTTGCCCATGCACTACCTGCAACACACTTATGGAGTGCAGCACTACTCGGCTCACAGTAATGCCAGCAGTCGACCGTAGAGCGACCAATGCGGTATTTTCGGAACCGATCCAGAATACAAAACGCTCGCGTCCAAGCCGAGGAAAGTGGGACCATCACTATTGCACAGGTGTAAAGCCCACCTCACTCTAGCTATGATGCGCGCGGAGTGTGTCTCCAGAATACCCAAGTCACAGTCACCGCTAATTTCACAATTTCGTCGGCTCAAAATAGCCAGGCCTGTTTGCCAGCGCGCCGCCGACCAGCCCCGGAGATTGCGTGCTTCCAGTGGCGGCGCTGTATCGTGGGGATTCTTCAGGCGTGTAAACTGGGCTATATTGTCAGCCAGGGCTGCGGCGGCGCGGGCTCAAAACAATGCCACGCGACGAGAACGGGCGCAGCAAGAAGTGCAGAATGAGAGCAGGCATTAGTCATTAGGGAACGTGTCCGCGTCTGTGTCCAGTTGGTATCGGGCACTGGAACGCAATGGATGGCTTCGCCAGCCCTCCTGCGTGTCGCGTGATGTGTCAATACCGAATTGTGCTAAAACCCTCCAGATGTAGCACAGAGAATTCTGTGAGTAACGCGCAGAGGCATCCATTCCACTGCAAATGTCACAATCACAAATTTTAGCGGATGCTTAACATCACCGCTTACGAACAGCTGTGCGTGAGCGCTTCCCTACGAGCGTTTGCAGTATAGTCCACGGTAGACGGTCTTCAGCGTCTCGCGGGAAGCCATGCTAAATTACATCGGTTAAATTTGAACGTTGCAGCTCATAAATACGCACTATGAACAAAAAATCGCACACAAATTATAGATGGCATGACGGCATGCTGTAATATCAACGCTGAAGCATCTAAACCGCATTTAGCTCAGTATGCTGGAGTCAAGACACCAGTAAATGCAACACCACATCGCCATCTTGCCAAATACAGCCACTAGTGTCGACCAATGAAGGCTGCGTGCAAAATTATCACATCACGTTAGGCTGAACTTGAGAACTAAAATCTGTCATGCGAAAGCAAGCCGGCGGGAGTTATCGAATGTTCGTAGCAGCGCACTTGACCACGTCATAAAAGCGGCACCAGCCAGCGTTTCCAGATGAGCCTCATGCAAGCAGGCCTGCTCAACTGCAACCCGAGTTCAGACCAGTTGAAGACGGACTGCGCCGCTGATGTACGTCATCGCTCCCATAGGCATCCATTGGCCTGCGCGACTGGTATCTGGTGTTACCAGTGGGACAGCCTGCACAAATGCTGCCGCTGCAGTTCAGTGCAGTCGGTGGGAACAGCAAACTACTTGCTCAAGTTTCCCGCGGCAGGTCGTCGCGGAACCTTTTATGGATCGCCAGGAACTGCAGTGCTGATAGGAGCGTCCAGGCGCTGGGCTGAGCTGATGCCTCAAAGCTGAGCGTTTAGGTTTTTGCCTCAGCCGAGAGTCGAACCCAGGTCCTCTGTGAGACAGTCGAGCACTTTCCCGATCGCGCCGTCTCGCCCCGACTGGCGAAACTGTACCACTAAAG